ATGCTCCAACAACGGGAGGTTTTCAAGAAGAGATTGGAGAACCATTGGTTTGAAGTGGGGTAGGGTTTCCTGCCTAGGCAGGGGGTTGGACTAGAAGACCTCCAAGGTCCCTTCCAACTCTGTGATTCTGTAGGTAGAAGAGGAATGTCCCAAAGATGCTTTTTTCTTTCCAAAAGGCAACTGGACTTTCTTGGGTTTGTTTTTAAAAGAAATTCTTTGAAAACGTTTAGTTTCTCATCCAAGAACTTTCTTCACCCAAACTTTTTGGGTGAGAAACAAAATGTTTTCAAAAGAAGAAACAAAACAAGGAAGTTCAGTTGCTTTTTTTAAAAAAAGTACCTTAGGGACAACCGTAACCTGGATGACTGAGAAGCTCCATAGATGATTGAGAAGCTACTATTATATTATACTACTAAACTACTACTACTGTCTACTATTGACCTCGCCCCTGGAGGGTGCATAAGCGCACCAATGTGCCTGCCGTCCCTGTCCTATTGTTTCTTTTATATTTTTCTTATATGCATCCGTTTCATGTATTCATAACCATGTTTATACTTATACCTGTTCTCTAACAATTGCTTGACTAAACAAAATAAATAAAAATAAAAAAACTCCATAGAAAAACTCCAGGGTAGCAGCATGAGTTACATCCATCTGGGGGACTTATTTCTGGAATGTTCCTAGTCTAAAATCCCAAGCCATTTTTGGTAAGTCAAGGCAGGTGGCTCAGTGGCTTAGACGCTGAGCTTGTCGATCAGAAAGGTTGGCAGTTCGGCGGTTCGAATCCCCAGCGCCACGTAACAGAGTGAGCTCCTGTTACGTGTCCCAGCTTCTGCCAACCTAAGCAGTTCGAAAGCATGTAAAAAGTGCAAGTAGAAAAATAGGGACCCCTTTAGTGGGAAGGTCACAGTGTTCCATGCGCCTTCAAAGGCATTTAGCCATGCTGGCCACATGACCACGGAGACATCTTTGGAGAGCTCTGGCTCTTCGGCTTTGGAACCGTCCATGAGTTCAGGAAGTTTCTTGGATGAGAAATGAAATATCTTCAAAGAAAAACCAGAAAGTCCAGTTGCTTCTTTAAAAAGGCACCTTTGGGACAAGGTGACAAATATAAACAATTACTGTGGGGTATATAAGGATGGCCTTAGAAGAGGCAACAAACCCAGACGTCAGCTACAACTCATAAGGGCAAAGCCCCATCTTTGTTTACGTGTGTTGCAATTGCACAATTGGAACTGCCATTTTGATTATTATTTTTTTTAATTTCCTCTCTGCAGACCCCTCTCCCAAAATAAAATCTCCAATTCTGGCCTCTGCACACTAAATGTGAAGGATCTGCAGGGCCCTTGACGGCGTGTGAGAGAAGTGAAGAAGTATTAGCGCTGAACTGTGCTAAAATTCTTCCGAAGTCCTTATTTGGGTGCAATTCAGGCCGATTCAGCAAAAAGAGACATCCTGTTTGAAAAGAATCGCCATTTCTGAAGTACAACAGATTCTTACCGTTAATCCAAAAAGCGGTTTCCTGTTGTTACAAGTGCAAACCGCAACTGCTTTGTGAACTGGGTTGTGCTTCAGTCCTATAGATTTTTATCTCTCGGAGGTTCGTGAAACCCCCGAGATCATGAAAAACAACAACAATAACCTGGTTAGAAATGGATTCCTCCCCATCGCTGTTATCAAAAATATTGACTGGAAGGAAGCTAAAAGGACAAAAAAGTATGAAAAGGTAAAGTCTATTAGGCACCAAAACACCCAAAGGCAGGGGAAGAAGCAACGGATGGAAACGGATCAAGAAACAACCTGAAACTAAGGAGGAAATTTCCTGACCGTGAGAACAATTAATTGGTGGAACAACTTCTCTCCAGAAGTTGTAGATGCTCCATCACTGGAGTTTTTTAAGAAGAGACTGGACATCCATTTGTCTGGAATGTTAGCAGGGGTTGGACTAGAAGACCTTCGAGGTCTCTTCCAGCTCTCTTGTTCCCTTCTTTTAAGATGTGATCCCTTTTACTTTTCTATTTTTCAACGTGGCTTGAATTTGGCCACGATTGGCTATCGTCCTCTCTGTATCAAAAGCCGCGTTCATAATTATTCACATGTGAACATAGGAGGGTGTTTTTGGTTCACAAGCGATGTCTGCTTATAGTACATTATTTTCTTACATTAGGAGCTTAGCTGCTGCTAATGGGCATTATCCATTCAAAGCAGAAGCTTTGTAGCTGAGCTATTCCTATGCTCTTTTCGTTTATTTTAAAGGTTTTCTCATTCCCTCCCCCAATTGTGTTCTCTAGGGAATCCATTTCCTGCCTTCCTTTTCCCTTCTTCTTATATCTTTCCTTCCTTCCTCCCTTCCTTCCCCTCATTCTCATATTCTTCCTTCCTCCCTCCCTCCCTGCCTGCCTCTCATTCCTTTCCTTCCTCCCTCCCTGCTTCTCATTCCCATTTCCTTCCTTCCTTCCTTCCTTCCTTCCTTCCTTCCTTCCTTCCTTCCTCCCTTTCATTCTCATATCCTTTCTTCCTTCCTCCCTCCCTGCCTCTCATTCCCATTTCCTTCCTTCCTTCCTTCCTTCCTTCCTTCCTCCCTTCCTCCCTTCCTCCCTTTCATTCTCATATCCTTTCTTCCTCCCTCCCTGCCTCTCATTCCCATTTCCTTCCTTCCTTCCTCCCTTCCTTCCTCTCATTCTCATATTCTTCCTTCCTTCCTTCCTCCCTCTCATTCCTTTCCTTCCTCCCTCCCTCCCTGCTTCTCATTCCCATATCCTTCCTTCCTTCCTTCCTTCCTTCCTTCCTTCCTTCCTTCCTTCCTTCCTTCCTTCCTTCCTTCCTTCCTCCCTCCCTCTCATTCTCACATCCTTCCTTCCTCCCTTCCTGCCTCTCATTCTCATATCCTTCCTTCCTTCCTTCCCTCCTTCCTCCCCTTATGCCAGAACTTAAAACTCTTAATGTTCCAGCCATTATTACCAAGGTCTAAAATAGCCTTGCAATCACAAACTTGCTAATGCTATGGTGTTTGATTTTAATTGCTCTACAAGTCACTTTTGGGAGTGAAATTTCACTGAAAAGCAGGAGGGTAAATAAAGAACTAGATCGAGCGAGACTTGGTTTTGGTGGGTGGGTGTGTTTGCATCAGCTGTGCATCTGAAACTATCAACTACACTTTGCCCAACTAAGTTGTGCAACTGTGAGTTTAGTTTGTGGTCTTGGGCACACAGGCGGCTGTTACATATATCTTGGGTTGACAAAATCAAAAATGAGGAGCTGCTTGGGAAAGCCAAGGGAAATCATCAAAACCATAAAAAAAAATGAAAGTTAGAATATTTTGGGCATGTGATGCGACACCTGGAAAAATACAGCATCCTTCACTTAATCCTCCAGGGAAAGAGTGAAGGTAAATGAAGTAGCAGGCGGAGGAAGAACATCATGGCTTCAAAATCCAAGTTTGGACAAAACTCAACAGCCCTTTTTCATGCAGCTGTTGATAAAAATAGGATCGCCAATGTGATTGCCAATGTCCAATGATGGATATGGCACAAGAAGGCGAAGAAACACAGACAGATTCATAAACTTGGATGGAGTAAGCATGCAGTTCAAACTCAGGTGTAAAATGGAAGCTTATACCTCATGAAATCAGTCTTTTAAGGTGCCAGAAAACTGTTTATTGCGGGCTCTAAGAAATGTAATATCTCTAGAAGATAAATACATTCTTTAACATAAAGGACAAAAGAAAGGGAAACCACGCCAGTCCAAAGAGGTAAAAATCCACCTTTTTGACCTAGTTTTTGAGGAAAGTCAGTTGAAGTTCAGCCGCATGTGGCATGATCGAATGATAGCTTGGTTTCACAAGCGCTTAACTTCACTGCTTCCCACTTTTCTGTCCATCGCATCTGTATTTGCATGCTTACAAGTGTCTTCTCTGTCTGGATGTCCTCCAGATGTGTGGGACAGAATCCCCCTAACTCTGAGCCAAGTGAATGATAGACTTTGCCTGTGACATTTGACGGCTGGCCCCTTCGAAGCCAGCTTGAGCAAAGCTGGTGAAAAACACTGGGGAAACATACTTGGCTTCTTCCCAAAAACTTCAACCTTAGACTGTCTACTCTTGACTTCACCCAATGCCTAAGAGGTCTGTAAGGGGGCGTGCATAAGCATACCAGCGTGCCTATTGTCCCTGCCCTGTAATGTTCCCTTTTATTTCATGGATTTGTAATCATGTTTATACTTATATCTGTTATCTAATACATGCTTGACAAAATAAATAAATAAAATAAAGTAAAATAAATAAAGTAAAATAAAGTAAAATAAATAAAGTAATATAAAGTAAAATAAATAAAGTAAAATAAATAAAGTAAAATAAATAAATAAATAAAATAAAATAAATAAACTCTTCCTCCCAATAGATGAATTCAGACGCTGCCACCCAGGGTAGCCGTTTCAGCAGTAGATTTGCCTCTTTTTTTAAAAAAAGGTGAAGAATGTAAATTTGTATTGTTAAGCAAATTAAATATCCAGACAGCACGATGTTTACTTAGCACTAAGAATTGTATTTAATAAAAAAAAAATCAACTAAAATAAAGGTGAACCCCAATCGAAGCCACCTTCTTGCTAAAGGTTGGAAGGAAGCAGCGAAGAGGCTTCGGCAGGTCTCCTTTCTTGAAAGAAATAATAAAATAAATAAAAGTAAAAGAGGAAGGTGGGGCTGAGAAGCCCAAAAGGGAGGGATCAGGGGGCGGAGTAAAGTTGTCACGCTTGGAGAATCGGGGTTAGACCAACTTAAGAGGGTTGGGGCTCCGAAGGACGGCCCTCCGCGGAGGGAGGGGAGTCTCTCTCCTGGATCAGCCCCGTCGGCAACATCGGCTCCCCAACGCCCATAGACGGCAGTCGCTGTCCGAGCGCCGTGGTGCTGAAACAAGCGCTCCGAGCCCGCCAGGCTGCGACTTCCCACGGCGTGCGCGCTTCTTCGGAGCTGTCCGCAGACACCGGGTTCTGAAACTTCTTTCCTTTGGCCTTGGTCTACTCTTCCCCCTCCGGAGCCCCGTTGAGCCTCGATGGAAAACGACGAGGGGACGCTTCTTCCACAAGAGACGAGATGCTGATCTGAACCCAGCTTAAGAAGCCCAGCCCACTCCACGACCCACCTGAGCGTCTTCCCGCCATCTCCAGCGGGTGCTAACTCCACTCCTGTGTCTGCTGCCGCCACCGCTCTCCCTTCTGCCTAGCCATGGCTTTCATGGTGAAGACAATGGTTGGTGGCCAACTGAAGAATCTCACTGGTGGCTTAGGAGGAGAAGACAAAGGAGAAGGGGACAAATCTCCAGCGGAAGCCCAAGGAATGACGAAGGAAGAATATGAAGAGTATCAGAAGCAGCTGGTGGAAGAAAAGTAAGTGCATGGTATTGCATGAGAAAGTGTATAAATTTAATAAATACAAGAAGGGAGACCTCTTCTTCACTTCTTTTTTCGTCTCTGATTTTCAGCATGGGTTGTGATAAATACAATCCTTGTGACATGTCATCAGGCTAGACATATTTCTCCAATTTGCTGCTCTCCAGGTGTTCTGACTTACAGCGTTGTCATATGGCTGGCTGAGAATGATGACATCATAGCTCAGAACACCTGACTGGCCATCCTGATGTAATGGTTGCCATGTTATATCTCTGAGACAGAAATGGGGGCATCCTTAAAAAAAAACTTGATGACTTTAAGTTTCCCCATTATTTTATGCCCCAATATTTCCAGATACTTGTGGTGTAGTCTTCTTTCAGTTCAATTCATCTTCTTGCAATTCCAAAAGAATACAGTAAAACAGATTTTCATGACTGCAATGAAGAGTATAGTCTGTATTAACGATAGCCACATCATAAGCATCCATTGCTCAGAAATGAGGAATAATAATATCATCAATTAATATCAACTCCTCAAAACGATTCTTTGCTGCTGCTACCCTTCCCATGATGGAGGATGAAAACTGACTCCCAATACATCTCAAAGGGATAGTCTAGAAAAGTTTAGATGTTGGTTGATGAGTGCATGGTAGCATCAGCATTATTATTGGACGAGAGTCCACTTCATTAATTGAACTAGACATGTCTTGTCACTATTAGTCTTCTGAATGCCGCCTTCACAGGCCTATGCTTGAGTGTCTCTGTGGAAGATTAATACGAAGGAGCAAGAGGGCAAAACCCTTCACTCCTTTTTAATCAGAGTAATCAAATAAGATGTGATGACTTTGCTTTACTTAATATAGCTCCTTGTATAACAGCTCAGATTCAGACCTCTATCAGGTGGTTCAGGGCACATGGCATTTATTGTCCAAAGGAACATACCAGGAAAGGTACCAGGTACTCGGTCTGGATATGGATATGTGGCTAGTTGGCTCAAGTCTAACATGACTTATCGGTTCAGAGCGATGGAATCAGCGGGACGATGGGTCCATGCACAGAGACGGAAGATTTCGGATATTCTAGGCTGAACAAAACCACGAACTTGTTCCTCCAATCAGAAATTCTGATTCTGAGATCCATACCTTCCACACTAAATAAAACATGTAGGAATTCCAGGAGAGGAAAAAAAGAAGCTACTTGAAAGCTCAAAATCAGGAGGGTTTTAGATGGATTCCAACTAAACGTTGGAAGGGGCCGAGCTTACCATAAAAATAGAGCGAATTTGCGAGCTAAATTAAAAATAGCTCTCAGGAATATCTGCGCAGAAATAAATCCTTGGCTCTAAGCAGTTTTTATGCAAAGTTCGACCTTAAATCCTCTGCTTTCCAAATGCAAATATAGGAATCCAGGGCTGTAGAAGGCAGATTGCAGAAGCTGATGTTTCCTTTAAATGGAACTTAAACAGGATCCTGCACCTGTTTTCTGATATGCAGAGGAGGAAACACAAAAAAGGAAAACATTTGTTACAGAGAGCAGGGAACATCGGTAATGTATTTTCACAAACTCTCTAATCTTTTAATCCTCTTTTGCTTTCAAGAGATGGGATTGTTTTCTCAGGAAGAGGAAAAAAACCCCTCACTGTGGATTTATTTATATGCTGAATTATTTCTCATTTGTGGGGGGGAGAAGGAACACAAACATTATTTAAAGCCGCTTTTGTACATAATACATTGTTCTTCTTTGGAATTACTCACTGTCTGCACTCGGCTCTCAGAGCTTTATAATACCTTAACTATTCATCTTCACACCCCATCCTCTCCCGAGCTCCATCGTGAGTAAGCACCTCTGTCTGACTTCTATTATCTTTGCAGAAAGCACAGAGGAGCTAGTCTGTATCCAAAAGGTAGTCACTTAAGCTTAAAGGTAGATTAAAGATTTGGGATAGAGGTCCACCTGTTCTCTCTTGTGGCGAGAACTCCGGTTTCCAAAGAGTTTTGTCTTGAAACAATTCGATAACAAGTTTTTCAGATGAATATAAGAACATTGGAGGCACAGGGAATAAGCCCAGAAACATAAACACGATGGTTAGAAATGCCCCTTAATCTCAGCTTTTGAGCTAAAGAGCTAAGAGAACCCAAAACCCTATTTCTTATCTTTGACCTATAACAAGAATTTAATTTAATAGACCAGTTCCTGTTTTGCTTGACGGTACTTAATTTTCCTCTCTACGGAGTCTGTCAGGGCTGTCCTAACTCTCGCGCTTGTTTTAAGCTACGTCCCAGAATTACACAAGCGAAAGGTAAATCCATCTTTGTCCGATGCAGAAACTACAAAACTGCATTAACTTTGAAAGATGGTGTGACAGCTGGATCCAACAAGATTAGGAACAATCGGCCTGGGGCGAAAGAAATCCATCACAGTCACGAGTCTCACGTATGAGTGGCTCAGTGCATGGAGAAATCACATACGAACAGGAAAAAGAATCAGAATTAAACCTCCTTTCTATTATGTCATCAAGTAGAGCTTGTGTTTGGCACTTGGCTGAATTTCTTCGTAGCGGTTTTTTCTCAGTTTTTGCAAAAAGCGTCAGAGAGGGGGGTATCCTTAAATCACGGCCTGTGAAGCGTCTAGTTTTAGCCGTGGCTGGGCAGACAGATGGCTCCTCAGCCTCCGCTTAAATACCCTTCAACGAAGATGGACCCAGGATTTCATTGGTCGGCCCTGCTGTCTAACAGCTTGTGTCATCTGCAGCTTTTGTTTAAATGTTCCCAGGAAGGAGAATTGATTGAGTCATAGGACTTGGACTGAGAATTAGTTAGTTATGCCACTGAAAGGAGATATGGAACCAATTAAGATTACTTTGATGTTGTGGCAGGAAGAGAATAGAGGAAATGAAAGCTCTTCTGTTTTTATACATCCCTGGAAGACTAGAGGCAGGATCTTCTGCAGATCCTGGATGGTTGGGTTCACTCAACATGCTAATTTTGGGTACCAAATGAAGCCATTTCTTGGATTTGTCTAATATTTGCCCAGTAAATCCATCACATCAGTTCAGTGTGTAAAGGCAGACACAAACGCACACTTAATCAAGGGCATTAGGTCGCATGACTACAACTGCTGGATTTTTCTCTTAAGTTGGGAATGTTGTGTGAACGAAGCCATTGGTTTCTTAACCCCTTGAATCAAAGCCAACCTAGTTGCAAGAGATTAAGGGAAGTTACAAGGATAATGACTAACGTTGGGTCATTGTATGATAGCAAAACAATAATAATGATCAGGAGTCTGGTAAACCTTTTTGACTAAGTTTATTTTAAAAATTCACTTACGGATTCGCTTCCTTTCTTCTTTGCATCTAGCTAGCCTCGCTTTTTCGTTCTTCATTGTTTCGTTCTACAAACTTGGGACTTTGTTCACCGTTTCTATGAAGGTTTGTCAGGGATGTGATCATCGTACCATGTACCATGCCTGGGGTGATGAATGAACCTCATGTGAGGTTAGGCTTTCTGGATTACATAATACAGAAACTGGGATTCCATCCTGGGCATAGATAAGAAGAAATAATCCTTACGACAATATCAATAGAGTGGAGAGGATGTAAAATGATCAAACAAGCCCTTTGACGAGCAAGATTGCATCCCACATAGGCACATGCATGCACACACAGACACTTATACGTAGGCAGCATGCAACACAACACCAGTTGTGTCAGATCAACAACAGTTGGATCTGAGTCGAGGACGAGGACAGGCAATTATTTCTCAGTAACTAAGCCAAGTTTTGTTGCTTAATTAATGTGACTTTGTCTCTGTCTTTTGATTAACTTCACGCTGGCCTGGATAACAGCCTCCTTTGGGAAATCTTCCTGTTCCCATGTAGTTATCCTCTGGCAATTTTGTCCTAGCTTGCCAAATGGAGCACATTTGCTAATAATAGGGCCAAGCTATTTGCGGGACTGCTTATCTGGCCATCGTTTTGGGAAGCCATGCCCCAGGTCTCCTCCATCAAGCAACGCCATCTTCTCGGAAACCGACATCCTGCCTCCTCTGTATCTGCCCTCCAGGAAGCAGGATGGCTCTGAACCTATTAGCCTTTCCTGAGGCTTTAAAAACCATATAACAGAACAGAAGCACAGAGTTAGAGGTCTTCTAGTCCAACCCCCGATCAAGCAGAAAACCTATACTATTTCAGACAAACAGCTGCCCATTTTCCAAAACCTCCAGTGATGGAGCATCTACCATTTCTGGTGGCAAGCTGTTCCAGTGGTTAATTATTCCAACTGTCGGGAAATTTCTCCGTAGTCCTTGGTTGCTTCTCTCCTTGGTTAGTTTCCATCCATTGTTTCTTGTCCAGCCTTCAGATGCTTTGGAGAATAAGTTGACCCCTTCTTCATTGTGGCAGCCCCTCAAATTCTGCAAGACTGCTATCATCCACTCCTAGTCCTTCTTTGAACTAAACTAGACATACCCAATCCCCGCAACTGTTCTTCATATATTTTAGCCTCCTAATAATCTCTGTTGCTCTTCTCCACACTCCACACTCTGTCTCAACGACTTTTTAAAATCGTGGTCCCCAAAACTTGATGCAACTATTCCAACTGCAGTCCTACTGTTCAGACTTGACTGTTCTTCCTGGCTTTGAGGCCAGGAACATAGGTGAGTTCCACTGGTTAATATGTTGAGGTTATTCTTCAGTTGAATCCTGTTGATGCATTTAGAATTGAGGTTCTGTGAAGCTTGTCTTGGGTTTCTACTTTACTTTATGCACCTCATACAACTAAATCAAATGCCATCTTCAGTCTACATTATAACTATAAAAATAAAACACAAACACACATCCTTCACATTCTATGCAATTGAATTAATATTGCACTACACAGTAGAATTCAGTATACTGTAGTTACTAACCCTGTAAACGCTGGGGATTGTACTTCAACAATATCTGGACAGCCATCAGCTTTCCTTACCAGGATATGGGATTATTGCCTTGCTATGAAAACATTGATTATAGTAGGAGAAGAGAAGGCCGAAGGGAGAGGGTGGAATTAAACGAGTCATCAGTTTAGAATTCTTACGTTGCCACAAACGATCCAAGTCTGTTTGGACAGATGAGCAGACCTATTCAGGGTTGAAATCAATTTCTTTCCCCCTGTGACTTTTGCAGGATGGAGCGTGATGCTGAGTTTGCCCAGAAGAAGGCTGAGCGTGCGACTCTGCGGACTCACTTCCGTGACAAATACAAACTGCCCAAGGTATGGAGTGAACCCTTCACAAATCTCAGTCCGGTTTCTTGAGGGAGCTTCTCTGCATTAGGGCTTGGGGATTTTAAGACTTATGGACTTCGGTGCCCAGAATTGGAAAGGAATTCTGGGAATTGAAGTCCACAAGTCTTAAAATTCCCAAGGCTGGGGACCCCTGCCCTAACATAACTGTACTATAGTCAAACTTCACACTCAAAATGAAGAAATTATGCTGTTTTATGCTACGGTAGAATAGGTTCCCAGCAGATATACGGACATGGTAATTCTCTCCCTGCTCTTTATCCTACTCCCTCCCTCCTCCTATCTTTTAATTAGAGATGAATATTTGGGGTTTTTATAGTTATTTATATTGTCCGTAGGTTTTTGTCTAGTTTTATATTTGTAATAGTGTCAGCTGCCCAGAGTTAGTTACCCTGTGGTAAGACGGAGTAAATTTAATAAATAAAATAAATAAATAACCAAAGGGGTTATGGAGAATCCAGGCCAGATCCTGCAGAGATCACCAATTAACCCCCATATTTTTTTTTTGTTTAAAGTTGAGGCCACTTTTTCAACCTTGGCCACTCTGTAAAGATGTGTGGACTTCAACTCCCAGAATTCCCCAGTCAGCCAGTCACCCTAAACGAATGGTTGTAAGTCAAAACCTGCTCGCATTGGGATTGATTCGAAGACACTGGATTCAGTGTCATGATTCGAACTGAAGGATTAACTCCATCCGGTTGCTATTGAATCAGATTCGCAGTTCTCCTGTTTAGAAGTTTCTCACGACTACAATTCCCTCTCTTGGTTTCTTTCTTTTTTTAAAATTTAATTCTGCCCGGGCCCTTCCGTGGCATTGTTTGCTGCTTGGCTTTGAGCTGGATATAACATCGTTTTAATTTGTACCGTAGAACACAAGAAGAAAGTCGTATTGCATGGTTTTAATTTATATCACAATGCACCCAAAATGTCCTTCTGAGGTACTCTGCAAATATTGGAAATAAGGAAACAGAAATAAACACAACTTCCCTGTTCCCCAAAGTGAGTTGATGTGGGCGTCCTCTACCATCAGTTGAAGACAGAAAGAGGACAAGATCCTTACGCACTGCTCCGCCTTACGAAGACGTCAACCAGGGTAGATGCCACTTGCAATAGGAATACATTTGCCCCCCCTTTTTTTAGAAAGACAGCAGCAGAAATCTCTGCAAGGGGAGAGTTAAAACCAAAATGGTGGCTCCCCCAACAGCCATCAACACTCTGTCCCTTTGAAAAATGTGGGCCTTGGATATGGTCCAAAGGCCCCAAAGAGATAGACTTCTACTGCATAGAGATACTTAGCTAACCATCTTAGATACCCCTGAACCAATAGCATCTTTTCAATAGGGAGGGTTCTGCTTGGGAATCCTGGGGAAAAAATGATGTAGAGGACACTCAAGGAAGTGTTTCTCAAACTTGGCCACTGGAAGACCGTTGGACTTCAACTCCCAGAAGTCCCCAGTCATTTAAGGTCATAGAGTTGCCAAGTTTGAGAATCATCGTCTTGGGAATGTTCATGGAGATTCTCAGTCATCCTGGTCATAGTTCACTCAAAAAGTGCTTTTTTAAAAAAAATTAAAAGGCAGCTGGGTTGTTTTTTGAGGAGGAGGGAAGATACAGATGTAAATACAGATTAACAGAGATGGAAGGGACCTTGTAAGTCATCTAGTCCAACCCCCTCCCCCCGCCTAAGCAGGAGACCCTACACCATGTCTGACAGATGGCAGTCCAGTCTCTTCTTGAAAGCCTCCAGTGATGAAGCTCCCACAGCTTCTGAAGGCAACTTCTGTTCAACTGGTGGATTGTTCTCCCTGTCAGAAAATTCCTCCTTGTTTCTAGGTTGAATCTCTCTCCTTGTTCAGTTTCCATCCATCATTCCTTGTCTGGCCTTTGGGTGTCTTGGATAAGATGCTTCGCTTTTTATCCAATAAGCGTTATCAGTTGAGATTGGAGGGTGAGGAGATGGAAGGATAGACTATCCAGTCACAACCGAAGCTTCTTGGCTTAAGAAGCAAAATGTATCCTAGGAAATCCTTCTGGCTGAACTGAACTGGTGATTTATTCCATTTGAAACCAATTGCATTTTGGGGGCTACTCAATGGGTTAGATGAAGATGATGTTGAGCGTAGTTCGGCCATCCAGAGTTTAGCCATGAACTGCCACATAGTCAATTGCCTCCACTGGAATTCTTTCCTTTTGAATCTAAAATCCAATATTCTACTCATTTACTGATATATTTTTTGAAGAACAGACATAATTAGGACAATCCAATTATGTTCATAATTCCGCTTCTAACTGGCTCATGTTCAAATCAATGGAGCTTATGATGAACGCAGTTGGTTTCCACTCTATTTGTTTTGCTAACCGTATTTATTGGGGTTTTTGCCCCAGGCTGAAATCTGACAAAATAGCCTATTTTTATACCTGGCATTTAGTCATTCGTCTGTAATCCTATACCTGACATTTGCAAGAGTCTCTTACATCAGGGAGAATATGGTATGTTTTTAATATGTTGGTTGGGTCCTTGTTCCAAAGTGGCAGTGAAGCTCGATTAGATCATGGAACTGGCTCATCGCCAAATTTGCACAGGGCCCCAAGCCAGAGAGAAGATTAAGCCTAATCAATTTGCCTGTTTGTATGAATGCTGCCACGAGAACTTTTAGCTGACCTGGTTAACACGACAATGTGAATGCAGCTAACAGGATGATCAATAGACCTTCCAGATTCCAAAAATCAGAATAATCTAACTATGAAGATACTGGGTTGAAATGGTAGATATAGGATCTTCTTAGGCAGGGGGTTGGACTAGTTGACCTCCAAGGTCCCTTACAATTCTGATATTCCCTGTTCTGTGTTCTAAATTTGATTCTGACCCTCATGTTCCTCCTTCAAGGTGCTCTCAAATTTATTTGTTAGTAGAGGTAAAGTTACTCTCAAGTTAAGGTTAATTCTTGGGGGAATTCACAGATTCCTACATGTATTTTTCTTGACAAGCCTAGCGAAGTAGTTACTGTCATTACTGAAGTTTTGTGGAAGGAGAGGAAATTTCTTATCCAACCCATTGTCCAAGAATTCCCTGCTGGTCTCATCCAAATCCAACCAAGGCCAAACCTGCTTAGCTTTGGACTCCAAACCTACTCAGAAATCTACAGGTTGCCTTCAGCGTACAACTGTTTGTTTAGGGGCCAAAGTTATGACAGGTGACTTAAAACTGGTCCTTGCACTTACGACCGTTGCAACACCTCTGTGGTCATGTGATGAAAAATTGGGCAGCCCATATGTATGATGGTTGCCTCCTCCTGGGAACTTAGGATTGTCCCTTGCAACCCTTCCCAGCCAGCTGCTGACCATCAACGTCAATGCAGGAAGCTGGGTTTGCTTCATGATTCACTCAATGACTGCAGGGATTCATGCGACAGAAAAGGTTGTAAAATTAGGCATGGCTCATGCAATGACTGTGTTGCTCAATGGGAGATGTTTTGGTCTCAATTACGGTCGTAAGCCGAGGTCTACCAGAAGTGCCTCTTCCTGAGACTTACCGCCATCGATGAAATTTTCTCCACCTTGAGTCGGAAGCAATAGCAGTAGCACTAGATTTATATACCGCTTCACAGTGCTTTTACAGCCCTCTCTAAGCGGTTTACAGAGTCAGCCTCTTGCCCCCCAACAATCTGGGTCCTCATTTTATCGGCTTCGGAAAGATGGAAGGCTGAGTCCACCTTGAGCCAGTCAGGATCGAACTGCTGACAGTGAGAAGAGTTAGCCTGCAATGCTGCATTCTAACCACTGGGAGGGAAGGAAGGAAGGAAGGGAGGGAGGGAGGGAGGGAGGAAGGAAGGAAGGAAGGAGATAGAGAGAAAGGGGAAGGAAGGAAGGAAGGGAGACAGAAAGGGGAAGGAAGGAAGGAGATAGAGAGAAAGGGGAAGGAAGGGTGGGAGGGAGGAAGGAAGGAAGGGAAACAGAAAAGGGAAGGAAAAAAGGAGATAGAGAGAAAGGGGAAGGGGGGAGGGAGACAGAAAGGTGAAGGAAGGAAGGGAGGGAGGGAGGGAGGGAGGGAGGGCACTATCAATTGCACTTAGACTTACATGCCACTTCATGGTGCTTTCTGGCCCTCTCTATGGCCCCCAACAATCTGGGTCCTCATTTTACTGACTTTGAAAGGATGGAAGGCTGAGTCAACCTTGAGCCTGGTGAGATTCAAACTGCCAAATTGCAGGCAGTCCACAGAAGGAGCCTGCAGTACCTCCCTCTGACCACTGCGCCACCGCAGCTCATCAATTAACCCTCTTTTCTCTAGAACGAAATGGACGACAACCAGATCCAACTCGCCGGGGGTGACGTGGAGCTGCCTAAGGAGCTGGCCAAGATGATAGAGCAAGACAACGAGGAAGAAGAGGAGAAGGACTCTGTTATCGGACAGCTGACCAACATCCAGAACCTAGACCTAGATTCCTTGAAGGACAAAGCCCAAGCCACCATAGATGACCTGAAGCAGTCGGCTGAGAAATGCACCGTCATGTGACTCCGTGCTGCCTCTTGATCCCAGTCGGTCAACTTGGGACCCGTGTGAGTGGGGTGGGGTGGTCTGTGAGGGGGCAAGGCTGACCCTAGTTGATGAGAAAAGACCCAACAGACCGCCCAATGAGTTTGTCTTCCTTGCGTGCGCGCGTGTGTGTGAGCTGAGTATTTTCTTTGCGGCCCAAGTCCTCTCCCTTGTAACGTATCTTCCTCCTTCCACCCTTCTTCAGTGAACATGAGGTGTGTGTACCTGTCTCAGGTTAGAACCATCAGTTGTCTGACCCTCTCCCCCTTCCCTTACCATGGTCCACCTTGAAGTGCTACCTCTTTTCGACCTTCTCCCTTTGCTCATACATCTAGACAGTCTATCTTCCATCAACCTTTTGATAGGGAAGGATAAGAGCCATTTACTCTCCTGGGAGTTGTCCTGGCTGTGTACTGAAATGAATGTGCACCACACACGCACAAACACACACACACACACACCTCTTGACAGAAACACAATTTGAAGAGGG